TTCCCTACGCCTTACCAAAGATAGCACACTGAAGCTTATAATTACAGAGTTATTAATATTTGGCCATAATCACATGCTTAGAAGAAATTGCAACTACCAAAATAAACGATCTCCCTCTTAGTTAAAAAAAAAAAATACACAGAGATAGACAGGAAGCTCAAAAGTCTAGATCTTTTCATAACCGAAAATAAACGTTTTTCGTGCAATTTAAGTGCAACCGGAAATTAAGGCAATTTTCTACTTAGGATCCAGTTTCTAAGGGTATTAAAGGGGCTTAAATGTCCCTATTAACAGCTAGCACAACTTTCAGAAGCATTTTTTGTTAGTTTTTGGAAAGATTGAGGTATAAAGAAGTTAGATGCCCCCTGAAAATACCACAAGGAAGATATTGACTCTGACTACCTTTATAAATCCAGCCCTTGCTAGTTTAGATGACTAAGCTGTATTGTCTAAAATGACTTATGTTCTTCTTAAGTCTTGATAAAAATCTGTACATTGCCAACTCCTCAATTACTTCTGAAAAGTAGACGATGCTATATAAATCATTTAAATGTTGCAACACTGAGTGGAGCAACATCTGCATACCTTTAAAAATCTAAGCCAGAATAAAAATTTCAGAAGCTCACAATTAACTCAAAAACCCAAATCCTATCATCCAAAGTGACCCAGCTTTACATAGATGTTGCATTTCACTTCCTCTTTCTCCGTAAATTTAGAGAACAAAGGAGAGAAAAAGAAAAAAAACGTTCAATATGACCTCTTTGAACATGGGTTTTCTGAATCACGGAAACTCCTGTGGACAGTATCCGCTCTCTACTGGTTCAGTCCACAAGGTTTTCCATGTATTCTGCACAGCCATGGTTCAATATCTTCTTTTCTCACACCACAGCTCTCCACCTCTTCTAACTCCTCCTCCTGCCTCATTTGTTCTTCTCCCACCTTTGACTTCTTTTTTTCCTCCCAGTAAAGTTTCCCTAGTTATCTGATTTCCTCTATTTCACATATTACTGCATTTGTATGTACATAAACACCATTATCTTCCCACTACAGGACTGGGAAATAGAACAATATGCTAAGATCTCCTGTTACACCATCGGGTTTTACCTACGAACTTTCCGCATTTACTGAGAAAGCAAGGGATTTGCATGCATTGAATATTTTTCATATTCCAGAATGCTGAGTCAGAGAACATAACTCAATCAGGAGACATACTTGCACACGAAATAGCAATCAGGAAGCTCTAGTATAGATAGATTGTGTAATAAGTATTTAATACTTTTACTTCCTTAACATTAAGGACACTTGAGCATGAAAATGCCTCTTTTCTTAAGTAATAGATTTTCATAAAGTCCATGCTTTGCTTTCACAGAGTATTAGAATCAAGACAAACATTTGTGCATACACACACAGAAATTTTATCTTGAAGTGATCTTCCCCATTGTCATAATATTTATACCCCATATCAATATAACTGAAGATGTATTACACATTTTAGTTCTTTATTCTCTGAATCTAACAGCATTTTTTCGTACAGCTGGTTCTGTCTGTACCTGCAGTAACTTTGTAAATTCCTTATTTTATTCCTCCAAGTCTTTCATAAAATGAGGAAAAAAAGGAAAAAGAAAGAGATCAGAAAACACATAATAGTTAACAGCAGGACTTTTGGAAAATGCAGAATTGTTTTGAGTCTTTTAATGCCAAATATCATTCAAATTCAAGATTTTTGCATTGATATGAGCCTGCTGCCCTTGACTGTTTCAAGTTTCAGTAAAACTTTCCATGCAATTTCAATTTTCAAATTAAGACATCTCAAAGATTCCCATTCACTTTTCAAGCAATTACAGGATCAGCTCTTGCATTAACAGTTATCCTTCCTGAGTTAGCAATATTCCTACAGCAGCAGTTCAGCGTTGCCAGAGGACTGCAACTACATATAATTCTAAGGCTGCATTTTGCTCATTATGGTATATATATAGGTATCAAAAAAGATCTTTTGTATGAATGATTCAATGAAATATAACTGAGTGCCTCAGAGACCTCTTCCATAAAGGTACACAGATTAGATCAAGCATTCCATCCGGAAGAGGGCACTGATGCAGAAAGGAGGAAGTTAGTGTATTGTTTTAACACTGTTAAACACAGACATCAGCCTGAAACTTGTCTTTACAGCAGCGTTCACAGAACTACAGAGTGAGTAAAACACAAGCTTGACATCTACTGGCTTCAAACTCATGTAAAGGATGTGACTGCGTGGGGTAGAAACCACATAATTGATAAGAAATCATTTCAAGGAAGCATACACTGTATTTTTAGCAACATAAAAGTTCAACATTACGACAAGGTTATAGTAACTATCTTTGAGTACGTATCAATTTTCCTGCCTGAGATTCTGGGACTGTTACGAAAAGTGCTTGATATGAACACACCCAGCTTGTTTTCAAGACTTCAGTTTGAGTAAGAATTGCAATTTCAGTGTTTACTTTGGAAAGTCACTCAAGCAAAGATACATGAGTGAACATTACAGCCAAAAGCCAGCATTCAACAAGTTGCTGACCCACTCCACTGGCTTGCCATACAAAGGGCAGTTCTGCTCCTATTTCCCTTCTCCTCCTTCCCTTGCCCCTACTTCTTTACTGATACAAGTTGTGCTCACATGGTTGTACTCTGCCATTGGGCCAGCTCTGACAACAGAGAAATAATCTTTTGCTTTGAACTGTTCTTCTGCCAATTTGGCAAGGTCAGTTGGCTCACTCAATCAGATACGTTTGAGAGCTGGTACAAGGCATGCCGCATAAACATTGGAATAAAGCAAAAAGGAGGGAGTAAGAGATTTTGACAGCAGTGTGTAGTTGAATGGCACAGATCGTTTCACTGACCTTTAGCTAGAGTTTGTAGGCTATATTTTGAAGATTCTCTTTGAATCAACATCACAGACACACACTAGTTTAAGATCTAAATACCCAAAAATTGCCAACTTATCCCTCTATTCATACTGATGAAGAAGCAAAAAGAGTTAATTGGTAACTAGAATTGTACAAAAAAAATGGTATTGTAAGGGAGAAAGTTAGACACATGATGTTACTTTTGTAGACTACAGTTCAGTTTGACAATCAGTGTGTAGAAAAACTTGTATTAAACAGTCAACTACAGGCACTTTGGTGAAATGCTTTCAACAGGCAAGCCCTTTAGAACCCATGAGGCTGTTCAGAGCCCATATTCCATTTTGACTTAAACATGAGCAACTACACTCAAAGCCATTACATGATTTTGAAAAGCTAACTTGAATCTTTCAAATTTCATTCAAAAAAAATTTCTGAAGACATTTTCTCTAAACACTCTTGCCATTTCTGTAAAGAATTAATTATAATTCTAATGCTCTGAGCTTATGTAGAGTAACTTCTAATAGGATCTACTAGACAAGACAGTATATATTATACAGTATACATAGAAGATTCAAAGCTACTTACCACAATATGTTGATAAGGATCTATGACAGACATTTTTGCCTTAATTTTCATTCAAGACAACTGTCAAATATATATTTCAGTTCTACACAGAAGAGGTTTCCCAGTTTTTCAAAGCAGAGTTCAGTATGACAGATCTTTTAACTATTAAATAAAGAAAGAAAGAAAAAAATTATGTTATTTTTAAACTATATTGTGTCAAAGAGCAAATTAGTTCCTCCAGTTTAGGAAGGTTCCCACAATCCCTTTGTTTACCAAGAACTTAATTTCATATAAGCTATGGAGGTATAGACATTTACTTGCCTGATCTAGAGAAATTTCTTGTGTTTATTTCCTGTACATCAGAGCATGAACCAAATGTCTTGAATTCCAGTCATCCAAGTGTTTCTAGCAGCTCTACAGATAAACAAAAGAATAGAGCAATTGTATTGATCCATTACATACGTTAAGTTGTATATGCTTCAGGCATTACAATCCTAGTTTAAAAAAAAAAATTAAAAAAATCTGGGTTTAGTTAATAGCCTTTTTACTATAGTGAAAATTCTTGGTTCCCATGCTTTGCTTCTATATTAAGATGCTCACATCATCAGGACAGGACACAGATGAAGTTTGTCTTTGTATCTTCCTCCATGTACAAGGTGAGGTACAAGGAAATGTCCTGCATTCACACCAAGGGACATGAATTTTAGAACTAAAAAGCCCACTGGAGAGCACAAGCATGACAGTCAGCAACTTGTACCAGACAACTGCAACACTTTGTAGTAAGGGTCTGTTTAGTCATTTTAACACAGCTTTTCATACCAACTTCACTTTGAAAGCTTTTTCCACAAACAGTAAATTCCCCAACTGCATGTAAGAAAATAACAGAAAACAAATTCCAGCATCTAATTTGCAGTAACAGCACAGGAGAGTTCATTTGGCAGCTTCTCATTTAACTATAAATGAGCAGCAACACTGCCCTCTGTAAACTTGGGAATTCCAATTGAAGCTGGGTATGACTTCCCTGGCCACCTCAGCCGTCTACAGAGATCTGCAAGAGGCTTTGACAGACAAACTGCAAATCACCTGTCAGGATGTATACAGGTTCTTCATAGGCCAACATTTTCTGAACACTTTGTGAAATTTCTACTGAAATCAGGGGTCACCGGAAGCATTAAACTTCAGAACTGCTTTCAGTCAAAGTAAAATATATTAGGAGAGGTTATTCCTTTTTGCATCTCTAAAAAAACCCATGGAAACTGCTGGACAGGATCAGTTCTCAGATTTAGCCAGACCATGGTGAGACCTGAACCATCAGCAGACATTTCAGATTTAAAAAAAAAAAAAAAAAAAAAAAAAAAAGGACAAAACCCAGGAAAAAAAAAAGCACACCACGTGGGGCTTGGTCTCAAGGAAATGATTCCTAATCCCCAATTTTGAAAGCGCAGAATAAGCATTAAAGAATGATGATTTATGTCACTCCCAAACCCTTGCTCTTGAGCAATTATATGCAGGCAGTACCATAAAAATTTTGTGTCCTTATGATCACTAGAACATATATCCCTTCTTTGATCCTGCCAGCCCTAACAATAGCTTGAGGCTAGAAATTACCCTGGGTTTATTTATTTGTTTTTAATCTAAGGAAGTCTTAGTATGAAGTACTTTAACATACATTCAGTTCATAGTTTTCATTCAAGGCAGCTCGATGCCAGAGCTTTATCACAGAAAGCAAGTAGCTTTTTGGACTTCAAGGAAGACACACAAACCTTCCATTATTCTCCTACTGTAATAATAATCGCAAAGACTTTTCTATTATTTTTTTTTTAATATAAATTCTATCAGCTAAATTCAGTAGGGGCATAAACAGGTAGATGGGAGGGAAGCAGCATTGTGTAAATAGGCATATTGTATAGCTGGTTTGTAATATTTAAGTTTATTTTACCTAGAGTCCTACTTATAGGAGGACATTGAAGAATCTTGGTAAACAAGGCCTACCATATCAGTTTTTGAGAACCTGTTGCAAACTTCAAAGGCAATCAAGAAAACGGAACAGTGAGAGCTATTCAATCACTGTAATAAAGAGGAAATTTGTGAAGTCATAAACCAGAAAATACTTTATTTCCCCTAACTGCACGGTCAACTACCAACAAGTTACCACGCTCACTTTGAGAGGATACACGTAACCAAGCTGAGGATACTGCTCTACCTGCGGAAATAAGAAAATGGGTTAGGCCTAGGACATGAAACCTGGTTCAAGTTATTTGTCTAGCATCCTAGAGGCAGAGTTGCAGTTCTCCAGATCATCATTCAACTGGTGAACTCACTTAGACATGAGACCATGCTCTCGTGTAACCCCCTGCCTCGTTTATTTCAACATCTGCAGGAAACACATTTGTGATCCTACAAACAGGATCTTTGACTAAAAAGCCATAATGAATCCCCAAGCATCATCTGTCCTCCAGGTTGAATAAGGCAAGGATCATACAGACAAATACACAATCACATAATTAATAACCGTATCACATATACACATGCACAAACTGCAAGCTAAAGATACACAGGCAGAGTCTCTGGATAGGGAGAAAAGGGCCAGGGAGCAAGTCGACCCTGATGTGATATGCAAAGCCTAATATCCAGGTTTTCCATACAGCTCCAATCAACAGCATGATAGATTCCAGCCCTAGTCATGCTGGTATTATTCCAATTTGGACCTCTTGGTTCGCTGCCTTAATGACAGTCAGCTCAGGATATGATTAACAGAGACGGGTACTCAAAGACAGGCAATTCAGTGCATTTCAGACATGTGAGTGTACCCGAGGCACCGTGAGGCTAGCAGATGGACAGGTAGCCATGCCCTGCCAGAAGCCAGCAGGCCATCTGAAGTGGTAACAGACATCTGTGTTTAAGTGACTTGAATACTTATGTCCTTTACAGTGGATTTAATTCAAATCAGAGTTACTTGACCCTAATATAATTACACCACACCCTTTGCAAGCTTGAACTACATTATTAATGGAGTTTGGGTTAAGCACAGTAATATATTTCTATATCTAAAATCTTAGTGTGGCAAAGGAGCCAAAATACAGCACTAACAGAAGCTACACGTTACACTCATCAAGAGCCACAAAGAAAGTCTTGAAGAATGCTTACTTCAAACATCTGCAGTAAATAAAGCTGTGATCCCCAAACTACCTCACTTAATACTGCCGCTATACACTGTCCATCCCACAAAGCCTCATAGAAATATCATCAACTAATTAAGGACTGTATCACAAGGGCATACAAAGAACTGAACTCAAAGTGAAGCTGGTGGCAAGACAACCCTTGACAGACTGCAGGGGAAGTAGCGCCTCTAAGCATGTCTTCAAGGACACTAATAGTATTAACATGTATTGTTTTGTTTCCCTGATAATCTGGTGGTATGGCATTATCTGTGAACTGTGCTGTTCCCAGGGCTGATAGCATTCCTCTGTAAAGGACAAGCAAAGCACCCCGCAGGCAGTGTCTCTACAAGAACACAAGCATAAATTCTGTCAATTCATACAGTATCACTAAAATTAACTAAGCTGGCCAGACTGATTAATGACCTATTTCTTGATGCTTTACAGACAAATATCCAAGCTTACAAATTGTCCAAGTTTACAAAATACCATAGCAAACATAGCCGCTTGAACAGGCCACAGATTAGCTTGGTCATGTAATACAGAGACAGCTTTCTGCTAAATTTCTAAATCTCACTTCCACCCAAAAGTAAACTCTACTTTTGTGAGCCCAAGAGCATTTAATTGTTAGTCACAGTTTCAGACATCAAACGTAACGAGCTGTTAGTGGATAGGTGGATCACTGTTTAAATCAAGACTCTTCTGTGATCTTAGCTCATTTTCAGTTGAGGTGACAGACTGAATCAGATAAGGTATTATTGCCTCTAAAGACCAACAATAACAGAGCAATTACACAAAAAGTTACACACACAGAGATTAATACTGGAACACTTTCATTCTCAGTGTTCGTCCAGTAAACTCCTACAGATAATTCAGTTTCGCAGGATATGCTGAGGACAAAGAACAAGAATAATAATGAGATTTTTCCATTTCATGCTGAGTATGAGCTCACTCCACAGTTAGTCTCCCCAAGCGGAAAGGCTCTGAAAATAAGTAAACCACATCACAATATAAATATCATCACTAGAATACATCCTCAAGATTGTAAGAAAAATCATAAAAGGGGGATTGTTTACATAAAACTAGCTGATTCTTCTTAAAAATTAAAGACATACACAATTAAAAAAAATAAATGAATAAGCACAACGCACCAGTACAGTCGTTAATGCTCTATCTAATATGATAAGAGTAAGGGGTACAGAATAAGCTAAATATTGACTCAGGCTTTTGGTATGAATGTCACCATCCATTTTTATCAAATCAGATTACAACATTTTATTTGGTTACAGATTGATCCTGTGATTGTATAACAGAAAAAACAAATAATCTGTTTCTACATGATTTTGCCTAGCATCCTGGAAAATCACTGTAATGTTATTTCTTAATTTAGGTCTTCCCACACAATAAACAAGGTTTACCTATTACTCTGTGTAGAGCACCCATCACACAATTTTCGTCACAAAAGAAAAAAGTATATGCTTAGCTGATGTGCAACGGCTGGTCTTCCCATGCCTTGCTAAAAAAGCACATGTGGAAGGAAGGATTCTGAGCAGAAAAGCAAAGACCTCAACCTTCGTGCCACATTTTTGGAGGATGTTCTGGGGTGAATTTTGGCAAGGAAGCTGACACAGCATGAACAGCTAGATAGAATTTTATGATTGGGAAATCACATTTGACTTCCTGCTAAAGACAATGTAACAGATGAAAAGACCGTGAACCTCTTTCTGAAAGATTACCTGTCAGCCTGCAAGCAATTACTGACACTGCAGGTGACACAGAGTAACTAAGATTTCCTTTCAATGGAAGGAGAGCGGTACAAAATATACTAGCAGAGCTAAAACTCTGGAAATGTCGAAGAAATCTTGAGCAAGGTAAATTTATACGTTATCTAGTGCTTGAGGCTACTTTAGAGGCCAAAAGCAAGGAAGACAGAAGTGGTAATATAAACAGGCCAGTTCTCTATATACAGCTGCCCAGTACCTCCTGGAGAACTAACTCCATGTTACGGTAACATCCTGTAACAGGAGGAAAGACTTGGTGAATTAGAGGAAACCAGACATTCTCTCATAATAAACTTAATTAAGCTGGACTTATTTCAAGAGGAAAAAAAAAATAATCCCTTTCTTACACTCTGCAAGGAATGACCTTACCAACAGAAATATTCAAGAGGCTGGAAGTATTTCCACCTGCATA